ATCTTAATAAAGACAATGCAAGTCTTTGCACAATGATGCTTTTTATTGTTAAAATGCTGTTACTAAACGGCCCTTATATTGACTAAGCTTTTCTCAAATCCCCCTTAGGAACAATAGATAGCATTTTTTGCCCTTTCACGTAAACTGCGACACTTTGAGGCGTGGTTCCATGATGAATGGTTCCGATTCAACGAAACGTCGCCTGCGAACTGCGATTAATCCGTCGACTTTGTGTAAAAGTTCGATTTTTTGCAAAAAAAAACGGGAAAATGTATTTTTAACCATATTTCATGACGCAAAAGATGTGGGGTTCTTTAATTAGGGCTCTGCCCACCAGGGGTCGCATTGTAAGGGAAATTGATATTTTTTTCGCTTTTTTTTTTCTTTTTATGAGGTGAAGCAATGCTACAATATATAATATTTATTATATGTAATAAAAATATCAATAAATGTACGTTTGTGGTACACTACTAGCGGTGTAATATATATAATGTATATAATATTATTATACCTTTGACTATGGAATTAATTTGAAAAAAATGGAATATAAAGTATCCTTTTTGTACAACAGCAGCAAATGGAGGTTATCCTACACCTTACACTACTGCACATTGTCGTCGGTAGTTATGCCAATGCGACAATGATTCGAATGGTCATTGACGGACACAGTACTGGGAGAATTTTCAGGTCAGGGGCTTGGAATACCCTCAAAAAAAAATTCAACTTCTCCAACTCTCAGTCGATGACGTACCAAGAATTTACAACTTTGAGAAACACCTCACTATAGTATTGAGTAGTAAAAAGGATTGGAAGGAAGAAATGTTTGCTCAGCATGTATAAGACCATACCATAACGTGGTATACTGATGCATCCAAAACCAAAGCAGGGACAGGGATAGGAGTATTTGGGCCAAAAACTTAATACTCCGAATCAATGGGCACCTACCCCCAAGGTTGACCTAATCCAGCATCCTCCAGGCAGAAATCTACGCTATAGAAAGATGCGTACAATTTATCTTATATAGGAACTATCAAAAACAGGAAATACTCGTAATCGGTGGCCATCAATTCGAAGTTGGTCAAAGAATGCCTAGAGAAGCTCAACAAATTAAGAAAAGAAAATAAAATCCTTCTACTCTGGATGCCTGCTCACCAAGGGATAGAAGGCAATGAAAAAGCAAATGATCTAGCTAGAAAAGGAGCGAACACTCCACTAACTGGACCAGAATCGTTTTGTTTTCCAAGCGGGAACCAACTGAAACCGGAACTGAAGAACCTGGAAGACTCCATCCGTAACCGAGGATGGGGGTCCTCCAACGCTCGAAAAAGTTCCTCAGAACTTACTACCGAGAAAAATCAAAGATTTTCTTTGATTTAAATAAAAACAATCTTCTGATTGTCACGGGGTTTCTAACAGGACACTGTCTCCTCATCGAACATCTCCCCATACAGCACACTTCGTCCCAGGGACGTACATTTTATGTCCATTTTACTTCGGTACGTCCCGGGACCAATTAGGGACGTACTATGTACGTAAATAGTACGTGCCCCATGTACGTACTATTTACGTACATTGTAGGACTTCACTACGGACGTACATGCGAGTACGTACTACGGACGTACATGCGACTACGTACTACGGACGTACATGCGGGTACGGTTCAAGGTAAGTTAAAGTGTAATAATATAATGTGACTATTTCACCTAGCACAGTCACAACCTCGAATGATTGAGAATCGGCTGATTCAATTTTTTCAAAACAGAGGCAAGAATTAGATATTTGAATACTAGTTTTCTTTTTGTATTTTTTAGTTAGAAGCAGTTCGAGAATAAAAAAATAAAATATCTATCAACATCCAATAAAAGACAGAGTGCGCTAAGGGTGTAGTTACCGGACCGAAGCCAGACTCACGGGTGTATCAAGACATAAGGGATGACCCTGTACCTGAGTTTTTATATTAATAAATATTTTAAGCTGACTTCCATTGAATTATTTCTAATTAAATTCCTAGGTCGTATACGTCGTTGAAAAATGTACGTCGTGTAATAGTACGTACATTGTATGTCCATAGTACGTACATTGTACGTACTTTCGATCATTTTACATCCAGTTTTGGTCCGAAACAAAACAAAATGTACGTACATGCGACGTACATAGTACGTACTTCACCACATCCCAGGGACGTACCGGGGACGTACATAGCGTTGGAAAATGTACGTCCCTAGTACGTACATAGTATGTAACTATACGTACTTGTACGTACCAGGGACCTGACGTTCGTCCCAACATTACGTACCGTGGCTGTATGGGCAGTAGGCTAAAGCTGAGAAACAACGGCGAATGCAGATTCTGTGGGCAAAATGGGGAAACACCAGAACAGCTTAACACTGAGTACGCCGAGACAACGACCGTTCATGCCATGAACTTTAGTACGACTGATGTCGAGGATGGAGAGCTGGCCTCTGTAGAATCGTCTCAGATACTGACTTTTGTTCAAGCTCTGAGACTGTATGACGTGTTATAACTCGTTATAACTCAACTAAGGGGAACACACAATAGATCTGTAAGATCGCGGTGATTAACTCCCCTCCTAAACATTCTACATTCTACATCCTTTCTGTAATACAACATACAACAGATATTTTTTTAAGAAAAGTTATAAATCAAAGCAAAGCAAAATTTTTATTGATCGACTAGATTTATTTGAACAAATAACATTTAAAACCCAATTCGATATAGCATCGGTATTTTTTCTGTTCGAAAATAAAAACAGAACGGGAAAAGTTGAAAGAGTCAACTTTTAACACGTCGGACACACGTCGTAAACAAGTTGCGAGGGTGCGAGAGGGCCGCCATAGGACTCCCCCATTCTCTGGGGACACTGGCGTCCGGCCGTTGTAGGCGTCGGACATCAAAGTGAAAAATCGCCACCGTCACTTGCATCGGTCGACACATTTACCGGCGCCTCGCCCGTTTATTATATATCGGATATTTTTATATTTTGTTTTGTGTTGCCCCGTTGCTTTTTAGGGGGTGTTATTCAACTTTTCTGATAGTGTGATACATACAAGAGGGGTGGATATTTCAAGGTCTTGGAAAATGTTATTCTTTGTTTGAAACTGGTAGTTAGTTGGAAACAATATATTATTTTACACCACATCACAATAAGCAGTAAGCCACCCAGTAGCGTAGCGTAGGCCCCGCAGCACCCGCAACGGCGAGGGGGTCTCGTGATCTTGGGGACCCCGCAGGGACCTCAAATTTTATTTACTAAATACATACATATGTGAACAGCGTCCCCCCGTCCCCTACAATTTCCAAAAATAAAAGGGAAAAAACTTTAACTTTTTTTGGACTTTGATTTAATTTTTAAACTACATTGTTACCTTAATAATGTAGTATATTTTAATTTTAAACACATATTTTTTAGCCAAGTAAAACCTACATAAAGCTATATTATGTTTTTTAGTGTGTTTTTTAATATAAGGGCCCCAAAAAAATCTTGCGGGGGGGGGCCACACATTTGAAGTTACGCTACTGAAGCCACCACTTCTTTATGAGTTACGTGATAAAGAATAGTAAAGAAACCTACAAAGTTAAACTGTAGTTTCTTTGAGTAAAGGGTTTTTTAACATTTCGTGATTTAAAAATATTTTATAGACAAACAGAGATGGTTAGGTTAGTGATGGTTTGCATCAATGGATTTGCTTGCAACAATAAATTAAAAAATCGCGCCCGCGATTACGTAACTACAAGTTTAATTGGTATTAAGAATTATATACTAGAGCCGGTATTTCTAGTCTTGGGTGCCGATTTTCGTGTGTACGAAGAGCACGGTCAACACGCTTAGGAAAATAAGATGTACTGAATAAAGACAGAAGGTAAGTATTTTCCCAAGCGCATCGAATCTAGCGTCAGATTAAGTGGTTATGTAATAAATACTTCATATTTTTGCTCTCTGCGTCTAGATTGTCATAGCGATTCACTCCTATACATGTAAACGCTGCCCCAAGGTTTCGCTTGCCAGCAGGGTATACATGTTGCATCTCACATTTACGCTGTTTGTATGGGATTAAACGTTTTATCAAAGTGGAGTTTTGGACGGTTTCGTAGCATCTAAGTAAGTTGGAAAGCAGCTTTATACTCTTTACTTTGATTCAACTTTGATGGTTAAAAGCCTTCTAACTGGACTTTGATCAAACAGAATACATGTGAAATGCGCGCAGCATGATTATAAGTACAGTTATATGGCAGCATTCAAGTGTATGCCAACCAAAGACCATACGACAAATACTCTAAGAAAAAGACAAAGAAAAGTAGACTTTTTTTCAATTATTGATGACCTCTAATATCTCTTAGCCCCCACAAAATTATCTATCTATCTATCTATTCAGCCTCTTCGGTCCATCGTTGGACATAGGCCTCCCCCAATCTCTTCCACTCTTCCCTCTCTGTCGCCATGCTCATCCATCTTGTGCCTGCATGTTTCCTCAAATCGTCCGCCCATCTCATCTGGGGTCTTCCTCTACTTCTTCTATTCTCCAAGGGCCTCCAGTTTACGATGCATTTGTTCCATCGATCATCCTCCTGTCTGACGTTGTGACCGGCAAACTTCCATTTCACTTTTGCTACTTCACTTCTAACATCCCTTACTTTAGTTTTTCCTCTGATCCACTCATTCTTTTTTCTATCTGCCAGCCTTATATGTAGCATTTGTCTTTCCATAGATCTTTGAGATTTGGTTACCTTATCCATATTTGATTTTGTCAGTATCCAGGTCTGGGATCCGTAAGTAAGTACAGGAAGTACACATTGATTATATACTTTGGTTTTGAGGTACTGTAGATATCTTTTGTTTTTTAATATGTAACTTAATTTTCCAAATGCTGCCCAGACCAGTCTTACTCGTCTCTTTATTTCAGCAGTTTGGTTTTCCTTTTTCAGTTTAATCATTTGTCCCAGATATATATACTCTTCAACTTGTTCTATTTTTTCGTGGTTTATTTTGGTTGTTTTATGTTTTCATCTGTGTTTATTATGATTTTAGTTTTAGTGTAATTCATATTTAGGCCTATTCTTCTAGCTGCTGTATCCAGTTCTTCCAGCATTTCTACCAGTTCTTCTTTCTTTTCTGATATTAAGGCGATATCATCCGCATATCTTAGTTGATTCAAGTATTGTCCACATATTTTGATACCTTTTTCTTCCCAATCTAAATTTTTGAAAACGTCTTCTAATGCCTGGTTAAAGAGTTTAGGGGATATTGTATCACCTTGTCTGACACCTCTTCCTATGCGAATTGGCTTTGTTCCTTGTCAAAGTCTGCGTATCTGTAGTCTCTCCTGCTATTTATTAAGGAAGTTTTTACTGCCCAGTGCTCAATACTATCAAAAGCCTTTTCAAAATCTACAAATGCAATATATAGAGGGATGTTGTATTCATTGGCTCGTTCTATTAGCATTTTCATAGTTAATAAGTGGTTAACTGTACTGTATCCTTTTCTGAAGCCTGCTTGTTCTTTTGCTTGGTATCCGTCAAATTTTGTACCACAAAATTATATCAGCTCAAATATATCCTAACAGTGGTGACAAAAGAAAATGAAACTAAAAAGAGAACTAACTGTTTATAGCGTGGCGCAATAATTCTACATGTGTCACGTGTATGTGACTGTAACACATCGTGGAATCCAATTAATCGGGGATTATTTCACCCCCTTATGCCCCGTGCCTAACGCCGCGCCATTTAGCGAGTCAAAACAAATCGGCGTCAAACAAAAGGCAGTCGCCTGATGTCTCCGACCGTGACCGATGTGTTTAAATCGGTAAAAATCGGAAGCTACGTCACCCGACGGCGCATCCCCGGCACGGGTTTTGTGTCTATTATGAGCATCATCCCTTTCTGTTTGAATCGTTTGAAAAAATTATTAACGGTTATGATTAAATTTTTAATAAATAACGGGCTTAGCGTGACTCGGGATCCCAGAGCTAAGGCTACGAACAAGGGTTGGTATTTCAAACGTTATGAAAAAAAATTGTGTGTGCACTATGAAGTGAAACTTCTTCTTACTTCCGTCTGTTTGTCTGTCCGTCTGTCTATCTGAGAACTCCATTCGGGTACCTACCTCTATCCACGTGCCGAATTTGGTTCCAGTCGACAGTCGACCCATAATTACAAAAATCCTGATGATTTCGTCCATTTAGAGGCATCGGTTCGAAACGTCGAGGGCGTCATCCTGTAGCCTGTCCACAATTATGCGGAAATCAACCCACATTTTCATTCAATATCAAATCCTTAGTCCCACCCTGATGAAGATGTAAACCAAATACGTAAAGTTTATTTAAAAAAATATAAGCTATATATTTTCGAGAAGCCCATGCCAAGCTGAATAAGAAAATTTAAAAATATACAGGGGGTTCTATTTAAAAAAAACATAAGTATAGTTAATATCTCAAAAAATATTTTTTTCGAAAAAAGTCTGACTACGCCACTGCATTCTACACAGAAAAGTGCCTTTAGAATGTATAATTCATTTTTCCGTGGTTGCCGAAATAAACAAACTACCTATCGAACATCTTCAAAAAGTACAAAATTTGAGAATCCCCCTGTAGCTTCGAAACCGATCAAGATAGCCACGATCCGTTTGCGCCATTGTATTTTTTTCAAAACGAATGACAATATATGTCAGAAAATAAATAAATAAATGCGGCAACTTGACATTTTTTTACATAAGAGCTACCACCTGAATCCCAAACACGAAATTTAAATTCCAGTTATTCAGCACGCGCGGCGCCGAATATGTCCTTGATTGGCAACAATGAATTTAAAAATCGCGCCCTCGTTTACGTAACTGAAAATTTAATTGATATGAAATATAGTCTTAGAGGAGTATATACCTATACTAATATATAAAATCCTGTGACTACATACTGATTAATCACGATCCTGCTTAAACCACTCAACGTAAGAAGCTCAATTTTGGCATACAGGTTGATTCTAAGGTGTAGAGGTTCGATAAGAAGGAATTTTTCGAAATTCCAGTTCCAAGAGGGTGAAACCACCCCTCAAATATTACAATATTTTTTATTTAAAAAACGGTCAAGTTTCCGAAAAAACGCTTAAACGCGTATATTTTATTTTGTTTTTTTACATATTTTAAGATTTTTTAAAAATGTATACAGAGTGTTTCGAAAAATCTGGTCATTGATTAATCACGATCCTGCTTAAAGCGCTTGACGTAAAAGTTTATTTAAGTGATTTTTGGAAAACAGATTGACTTTAGGGTGTAGAGGTTCGATAAGAAGGGAGTTTTCGAGGAAACTCAAATTCTAAGGGGGCGAAACCACCCCTCAAATATTAGAATATTTTTTTATTTAAACACCGGTGAGTTTTTCGGAAAAACTCTTAAACACGTATACATTTTATTTTGTTGTTTTACATATTTTAAGATTTTTTAAAAATTTATACAGGGTGTTTCATAAATATGACCATTGAGTAATCACGATTCCGCTTAAACTGTTTGACGTTTATAGCTGATTTTTGGCAAACGGATTGACTGTGGGGTATACAGGTTCGATAAGGAGGGGTTTCTCGAATCTCAAATTCCAAGAGGGTAAAAACGCCCCTCAAATATTACGACATTTGTTATTTAAAAAACGGTTAGTCTTTCGGGAAAACGCTTGGACACGCATAATTTATTTTGTTTTTTTACATATTTTGAAATTTTTTAAAAAATCATACAGGGTGTTCCAAAAAGTTGGGTAATTCATTAACCATGATTCTGCTTAAACTGCTTGACGTAAAAAGCTTATTTTTGGCAAACGGATTTTTCGAAAGCAAATTCCAACGAGATGAAACTACTCCTCAAATATTACCAAGTTATATAATAATATCGCCATATTGTTTTTTTCTCATGCCGACACACATAAATGTGAGAAAATTTTATCCAGTTTGTATGTTAATGGAAATTCTTGCTGTGCTTTATCATCACCATTACAAATGATTAATTCGACGCGAACGAAGTCGCTGGTACCCTTACTTATACGAAGCATGATTACCTAGACATAAATTCTACGATACCTACTCCTGCTTTCGCCTAGTCGTTATGCTTTAAAGGGTAAAATAAATGCTATGTAAAAAGAGGCAGTTCCTTGCATCGCCCGCAGTTAAAAGCGGGAAAAAGCCACGCAAGCCCACGATTCGTTTCGCCCGATGCCAATTTCTGTTGTTGGCAGATCCAGGCGAACGAGGCCGGAATCAGGAAAGGCCCGTGGCTGGCGGCAAAAAGCGGAGCCTTGAACGGGTATTGATTCGAATTTTGCACCCTATTCCTACTTCACGTAGTTGTTCGGACTTTGTTTTTGAAATAGAGACGTTTTCGTCTATGGATTGCCTGTGAAATATACAAGCTATTTAGGAATTGCTTAGACCAGAAGTATAACAAAAAATAAAAATATTTTATACTGGGTGCGTCTCGAAGTGGCTCACCCCTGTAACTTTAATTTTTTCTTCGGGTAAAAAAACTAGATTATTATACAGATTCAAACAATGGCCAAATCAGAAGGGCATCTGCCAGCTCCTAGAATAAAAACTTGAGAATTTTGTTTAAGTGCAAACCTAAAGTATGTACCAGGATGTATTTCAGGAAAATATTTTAACTTCTATATAGGGTGGTCAGATTGTATTCCAGGCTGCGGCAGCATATTGTGCAGATAAAAATAAGTAAAACAGTTCGTATAAACCATGTCCTAAAATACAAGTTTCGGAAATACAGGGTGCTTAAGAAGTTTCATTTTTATTTCGATTTTTTCAAAATAATTTATGAAGTAACGTCAATATTTGGTTGGTGGTGCCTAGGAGTTTTTGATATGAGAAATTTGATTTTTGATGTTAGTAGGACTCCTACTTGTAGAAGGCACCACCTATACAGGGTGTTTCAAAACAAATAACAGAAAAACTTCAGGGGTGATTCCTTGTTCAAAATAAAGGTAGTTTGCTTCATAAATGGTCAAAAGTCAACCATTAGGGGAGATATCGCGGTACAAAGATGGCGGAGAAAATAATGTTTTTATTTTTTATCTTGAATACGAAAAGAGATAGACTAATGAAATTTTATGGAAGCATTACTGTTACGAAAACACCCTTTCTGGTCATTTTTTAAAATGAGTGGAAGGGAGTTGAAATAAACTACCCCTATCATTCTTGTTGAAATTTAAAGAAAAATCTTATCAAACACATGCAAAAATTAATTTGGATAGTTTAGTTTGTTTAGAAACTTTTTTTATCTCTTGTATTTTATTGATAAAACTCACCGATTTGAAATTAAAAAATGTAAACATTACATGTCAGGACAAAAAACATTTTCTGATAAAGAATCTAGTGGGCTGCTGTAATTTTTTTAGGAAAAAATCTAGTCGGCCGCTGTTACTTTTTAGGATGTTTCAAATATTATTTTATTTGACATTACTCTACTGCAATAGGTTATTATCTAGATTATTATTATTATCGTTATTATAACTAGATTCTTAATCTAAAAATGTGTTTTGTCCTGACATGTAATGCTTTACATTTTATTTTTTAATTTCAAATCGGTGAGTTTCATCAAAAAAACACAAGAGATAAAAAAATTTCTAAACAAACTAAACTATCCAAATTATTTTTGCATGTGTTCGATAAGATTTTTCTTTAAATTTCGTTAACAAGTATGATAGAGGTAGTTTATTTCAACCCCTTCCACTCATTTTAAAAAAGTGAAAAAAATACCAGAAAGTGTGTTTTCATAACAGTAATGCTTCCATAAAAGTTCATTAGTCTATCTCTTTTCGTTTTCAAGATAAAAAATAAAAACATTATTTTTCTGCCATCTTTGTACCGCGATATCTCCCTAATGGTTGACTTTTGATCCAACGTTTATAAAGCAAACTCCCCTTTATTTTGAACAAGGAATCACCCCCTAAAGTTTTTCGCATTTGTTTTGAAACACCCTGTATATTTTTTAACTGGTTTGAAGAGTAATAACTTTTCGCCCGTACCTGTATAAAACTAGTGAGTAAAAAAATATACATTTACAACGTTTTTTACGTAAAAAAAGTCTCTTTGTAAACATTGCTTACTCGTAGAGATTTTTACCAAGAGACTTTATTTACGTAAAAAAACGTCCTAAATAAATATTTTTTTACTCAGTAGTTTTATACAGGTACGGATGAAAAGTTATTACTCTTCAAACCAGTTAAAACATATGTAGGTGGCGCCCTCTACAAGTAGGTGTCATAATGACATGAAAATCAAATTTAT